CCGGATCTCAGTCATGCATGGATGGATTTTGTTCAGATTTAGCACAATGTGTTGTACATATGCAGGTGCATTTCGGTCATGATCTGCTTTGAATGTATGTCACTCAAATATGAACGGAACGGGGACGTGTCATTGACAATGACTTGTTATGTATTGTATTTCCTTAAGAGATCCACATGTCTAATAGTGGTTTCAGTACCAGTACTTACACATGTGTGTGTTTGCATCTTGTTGTGTCATAGTCTGTTAACATCAGTTTTTTACTGTCCCTTTATGATAGTGTAATGTTTTAACACAGTATATTGGCATAAGGAATGTGATAATAAGGTTAAACTGCTGTACTTACAAATACATACCAAGCCCTAAATAAAATATCAAACTTCTGATGTTTATGCTAAAAAAAAAAGCTAAGATGAGAAAAATAGAAAAAGTTGTGGAAATCGGGCACCGCGGTTATCGCTTGGTGGTGTTAGACAAGCACAGCATGGCATCAACACCATGCTGTTTGTACCCCTAGGAGAACACAGTCCAAGTTCAACAGTGTCAACGTTGAATTAACACTAAACAAACTATTGAGGTCTTGACAATAATGAAGCAAAATGTTACCAATTTGTGCTACTGTTTTGAGGGGAAGTGTACCGCAAATAGAAAATTAATTTATTCTGCAACAGAATATTGTTTTCCAGCTATTCCTATGCCATTGTCATAAATATGGTACATGACCTACACTCTATTCCTATGCCATTGTCATAAATATGGTACATGACCTACACTCTATTCCTATGCCATTGTCATAAATATGGTACATGACCTACACTCTATTCCTATGCCATTGTCATAAATATGGTACGTGACCTACACTCTGTGTTGGTAATTAATAATTACGTGAATTAATTATCTTGCCAGCTTCATGTATTTTTATTTTGACTTGACCTTTTGATATAGTGTGATAATGTTTATTGCCAGACATGGTACCTACGAGTGCAGTAAATAGCCAGAAAGTCGTATTAGATGAAGACTTAGAAATCATGTATACAAGACAACCAGAGACCATCTCATATCCACATCCCAGGGCTGATTGTGCACTGCATTTATTTACGTAAGTAACTACATACTTGATACTACTACTTTGTGACATTTGTAATACATGTATGTACGCATGACAGTCGATGTAGTGATTGATACAGCACATGTTGTATGTTTAGTCTAGTAACCGTCAGAGTAAGGCACAACATGTTATGTAAAGATGGAGTGAACACATGGCTTTAATCTCTCAACCAACCAATTTATTTTGTAGGCGAAGTCATGATATATTGCTTGGTCCTGTTGAAAAGAATGCTCTGTGCTGTGATAATTGTTATTGCTATGTATGTGATGTACCAGCAAAGCAGGTAAGTACTGTAGCATCTGCTCTATTAGAAGCGGCTTCTTCTATTAATGGTACAATGCACAGGGAATGCAGCTTCCAATAGAAATGGTGAATTTTTGGTTCTCAATTGTTAAAAAAAAAAATGGATGTTGCTTCTATTAAGAGTGTGGCTTCTAATACAGATTTTATAGTAGTTGCTTTACATTACAGTGTGATGGCCCTAAAAACTCAAGAATGGGCTTATCTCATTTTGCACTGCCACAATGGTGCACTCTGCGCACACAATAGTCAATAGACTACTTGTAATATGTGCACCGTGTCAAGGCGAAGTGAAAATGCTGTAATGGGAAACAGAAAATATTTGCGTTGGTTGAAAATGTATGCACTTTAAAGAATTTTGTTAATACTTAAAAAAAAAAAAAGTAGTGGAATCTACTCTTAATAAATGTACATTTTCTATCATTAAGCCATGTTCCACACGTGACCTTAGCAACCAGTTGAGTTGTGTGCAACAGGCCAAGCTTTCCCTTCAATATGGTGGCAACCACATTGCCCTGTAACAATATCTGTGATACTTAAAGCTACAATGGGAGTTAAATGGTGCACTTACGACAAATGTAAGAGTGATTCTCGCAATCAGCATAAATATTAAATGAATGGTGTTTTTTTAAGTCAAAAACACAGTCTGAAAAGTGCTATTGATTGATCAGTTCCTGCTCTCGGTAGACAATTTTGTTTACCAAATCACCCAGGACATGTACAGTTGTTTCCTGGAAGAAAAAGATCCTATAGTGACTATTTTGGAAATGCTGTATATTGCTGATCAGCCACATGCTTGTCGCAACATAATTTGACATCTTTGAATGATTTTTAGACCCTGGGCTTGTTCCGGTCATAGTCGAATCGATGACACATTCAGTAACACTGTTACCATAAAAATCGTATTTGAGGCCGCAGCTTTAATAGAAGCCGCACCCCTAACTTGAGACATTATTTCATGTTGAAATTGAAAATTCATGTTGTTTTGATCCCTGGAAAAAGTCGCACCCCAAACTTTCACAAACCAAACAGCCACCACATATTTTAGAAAAAGATGTATCATTTAATTTTAAGTTAAGGCATAATTTTTCGAACATTTCAATCTTTCCTGACTCCTAGATTAGAGTCTAATTTAGGGTTTCCTTAGTCATTGACGCTTATTCGAGAGTACCATACAGTGTTTATTGTGGGTAGCGTGAATGGGTAAAGTGCGTTTCGACAATGAGCTGTTATTATAGTCAAAATTGTTAAATTCTTCTTCAATGCTCAGCTTATCTTTCGAAAACAACTAAATCAAAGCCAAACGATCGCACTACACTAACGGTAAATCTCATACTACATGTGGACCTCTCTCAGATATGCTCATTTCATGATGATATCTTCAATTATCTAATTTTAATGAATTCCTTTTGTTCGTTTGCTTTGATACTATACATATTTGCTGGGAAAGGATTGACCAGATTTATTAGTCCAAGAAAATTGTTCTGCTTGGAATGTGTCTGAACCCCTCGTTAGTATGCAAGAATGTAGGAATGCACCAAGAAAATTGTTTTTCTGGTTTCTTTTCAAAGTGTATTTATATAATAAAAATTGTTTATGAAAATGTTTTTTATACTTTTTCGATGGATTGAATTTAAAAATGACGAGTTATTTTGTTATACCATCACCCGAATTGTGTGTGACGAATTTCTGATAGTTTAGGCTTTGTGTTCTTGCTAACGGAAT